ACTCGCAGATTTAAGCTTTAATTCCTTAATTATATTGTAGAGATGACTATTATTTTTCATTCTTTCTTTGTTTTTATTTCAAATAAAGAAATGTAGTTCCCTTCAAAAAAATAAAAATAAAGAAATGCAGTTTGACTTACAGTATTATGAAAACCAAAATAATGTGATCGAGATTCCTAAAGAAGAGAGCAATGTGAACTAGGCTAGCTGTTTCTCTTTTCAAGAAATAAAAACTAAATTTAAAGTTGACAAATAGAGAAATTTTAAATTAGGATTATGCTATGTATTATTATTATTATTTTGATATCTATTACTACGTATTACAGTATTATTATTATTATTATTATTATTATTATTATTATTATTATTATTATTATTATTACTACTACTACTACTACTACTCCGTATTATTGTTGTTTTTTTTTTTGTGAATAACGAATTAATTAATTAGTTGATCGTTGGAATAAAATGGTGTGATACAGAAAGACAGTTGGAGCGAAGAAGAGGAGAGGGTGCTGGTTGAAGCACATGAAGAGCTTGGGAACAAATGGGCTGAGATTGCAAAGAGAATTACCGGAAGGACCGAAAACTCCATCAAGAATCACTGGAATGCCACCAAGAGAAGGCAGACTTCCAAGAGGAAGACCACCACCACCAAGAAGCCGCCGCCTGAGGCCGCTGCTGGCCGCGGCGGGTCCTCCTCCTCCACCTCCTCCACCACCTCCTCCAATCCCACCAACAAATCCACCGTTCTTCAAGACTACATAAGAACCAAGTACCTCACCCCCGCCGCCGATGTTGTCTCTGATGACCGTCGTCGTCCTCCCACGATCCCACTCCACGGCCCGTCGCTGTCGAACGACGACGTCTCGCCCTCGTTCATGATCCATCAAATGTCGTCCCACGAGGATGACATCATCTTCATGCAGACCCTCTTCGGAGGGAATCCGCTCAGGGACCAGGGCGTGACAGACGAATGTCACGCCATGTCCTACGACGACAGCGTGATAGAGGGCTCTCAGGACCAAGACATGTCCTACGGTGACTGCCCTCCCTCGGAGGGCGGCGTCGAGGTTTATCAGGGTTCTGAAGGTGGCCTACCGCCGTCATTGCCAACTGTCACACTGCCAGTGCCTCCAGAAGGGAACCATCATCCGGCGGCCGACAGATATATCTCGTACCTGTTGGACGGTGGAGATGGAAGCTCGGCGAGGGCAGACCAGTTCGAGGCAATGAGTCGGGCGGGATTGTCGTGCCCTCCGTTTGACTATTCTCCGTCGCCGTTATCGGCGTTGACCGGGATGGGAGGAAAGGGGAGGGATATGGATCTGATGGAGTTGATATTTTGTTCATCAAGATCATCTCAAGGGAGCAATAATACCAACGAGGATTAACTTAATAGTTCTTCTATTAGGTCTCGTTTGGATCATATGTTTACTTAATTTAGTGTCGTTGTCTTTTCATTCCAGCTGCCTTTGTATGTCAATTAAAGACTATGGACATTATTTTATGTTTTTGGTCAATCGAATTTTTTTCTAATAAATAAATAATTTCAATTCTCGCGGACCTATTTTGTAAGAATGGACTTCAATGTTATACTTTGCACATTAATATTCATGTTATACATAGATATATATCCCTCCATTCTTAAAAAGTGTTCCTATTTTGACCAAGTGTAAAAATAAGAAAAGGTTAAAGTGTAGTTGACTTCTAATTTTGCTCATGATGTAATGAGTAAAAGTAAGATGTGATGGATAGATTATTAGAGAAAAAGTATGAAGTGATAGGTAAAGTAAAAGTAAGGGTAAAAATAATTTTTTAATAGATAGTGGAAGTGTTTTATTGACAATAGAAAAAATTAAAGAGGAAGTGTTTTTGAGAACGAAAGGAGTACTATAAAAATTTAATATTTTAAAACTAAATTAAAAAACACTATTAATATTATACCTATATCAAAACATAATGTATTTCTTCCAAACATTTAGTCAAGTTTATAAATTTTAACCATGAAAAATTAAATTAGAAAATCTTTCTTCAACAAGGAGAGATGTTCGTGGAGGGAGGGGTATATATATGTGTGTGGTATATTCGTGCATGCATGGCGTGCGGGGTGCGTGCGTACGTGCATGCTTGAAATTACGCATCGTCAGGGATATGCCAGTCTTACAGCTGCTTTTTTGTTTCAAATTTCTAAGTAATCAAAGTGTCATTATTTGCGTTTGAATGAATGACCATAGTGACTAAAAGAAATTTGAAGTGTCATTATTCTTCCCATTTCAAAATGAAGTTTCTTTTTCAAAAAAAAGATTTTATATTTTTACATGCAACTTACGTGCATGCAATAATTATATTGTTATTTTTTCGATGTTAGAGGATCGCTAGAAAGAGAGAGGCGTGCTAGCGTTTTGGAAGATCGAAGCAGATGGGAAAAATGTTGAGAGCGCTTTGATAGAAGCGTTTTGGAGAGAGGGCGTTTTCGCTAGAAAAGTGTTGGCTTTTATATGGAGTATTTGAAAATGTTGTCACAGATTTTGTTCGCTGCTTAGGACATGATAATTTAACACTGAGTTGCTACATGTCCCTTTGTCACGAATTTCGCAACCGCTAGGATGTGACAATCTCACATTGAACTGACGAGCGTCTTTTTTCAGTAGGAGTTTTTTCTCACAAAATAGGGCAAGGTTCCTACATGTCCCTTTCTATATTCACTATACAATTTTGATTCTATTTTAAGTCCATTCAAAATAATATTAACATTTAGAACATACGGAGAAAAAATACTCATATTTTTTTAAAAAAGATGCATTTAATTACATTTTGTTGTGGTATATAACTAAGGTAACTGCTTATTGTTTTTATTTGGTCTTTGTATTTGCCATTTCGCTGGTCGGTTTGAAATTGTTGTGTGATTTACGCATCGATAGTTGCATACGTTTATAACGTACGGACTAAAGTCCATTCGATGATTCCTATGGAAGAAAATTATAATATGTTGTGGTTCTACTCCTAAATAGGTTAATTATGCACCCTCTTGCTTGCAATTTTACTCATATTAAACCACTTTCCATTTATAATAATTTACTACATCTAATTCATTATGCATTCCTATTTCTCTCACACACACACGCACGCACGCACACACACGCACACACGCAGCACGCAGTATGCACGCACGCACGGGCGCACACACACTAAAGAAGCACTTTATATTTATATTTTAGAGGATTATTTACTTTCTACAGGCTAACGATTAATGTTTAGGGCAACTTTAGTAAAAAATAAGATAAGTAAACAGTTAGTTTCTAGGTTATCATGGCCCTGTTTGGTATCAGCGTCAAAGATTAGCGTTAGCGTTTTGAAAAAGCTATCCGACGATAGACTTTAGCGTTAGCGTTTTCAGAATTAATCTACACCGTTAAAATTTTATCCAAAACGCTAACGCTAATCGAAAACGCTGTTACCAAACAAAGCCCATGTATAATACAATTAATGTGTGTATTATTATCAGTGTCTCTAAATTAAATTCACACGCTCATACTTTTTAAATATTTGTATCCAAAAAAACCTCTTGACTAAAACTCCTCACGGTTTAAATCGATCTCATTTCATTTTTAGAAAATTATTCGTGTTTGATTATAATGTTAAGAATAAAAAACAAGGTAATTTACCTAAATAAGACTAAAACATAATGACTTTCCCAATATAGGACCATATGTTTTTATTTTTCAATGTAGAACCTTTGGTCATTATCAAGTAGTCATTATTTAACTAAATATCCATCATTACTGGACATTATTCTTTCCACTATGTCATTATTAAGTCCTATTTAGGGAATAAAAAAGTTTAAGTCCTACATTTGGAAAGTCATTATATTTTAGTCCTATTTAGTGCAAATTTCACTAAAAAATAATGACTTTCCCAATATAGGACCATTTGTTTTTATTTCCCAATGTAGGACCTTTTGGTCATCATGATGTAGTCATTATTCAACTAAATATCCATCATTACTGGACATTATTGCTTCCACTAGGTCATTATTAAGTCCTATTTAGAGAATAAAAAAGTTTAAGTCCTACATTAGGAAATTCATTATGTTTTAGTCATATTTAGTGCAAATTTCACTAATGTTAACAAATCACTCATATAGAAGTAAACACGTAGGGCCTGTTTGGTTTAAGGGGAGAGAAGATAATCTGAATCTCTCCCCTTGTTTGGTTCAAAAACATAAAGAGGGGATCCAAAATTTTAAATTTAATTTCCTCACCTCCAAATCAGACGTATTCTGTTTCCCTCATGTTCTTCTCTTATTCTTCCGTCAGTTTTTCCATCACCTTACTATTAAACAAATAATATAAATAAAACAAAACAAAAATAATACAGTAAAATAAATGAATAAATAATAATAATAAAGAAATAAAAACAAAAAAGAAAATAAATAATTATAACATAAAAGAAATCATTATAAAATAACAAACAAAATTTAATAATAACAAAAAAGTTTATAACTATAAAATAAATAATAATAATAATAATAATAATAAATATTTATAATTTTAAAAAATTATAATAAAAACTAAAAATATAAAATAATAAAATAAACAATAATAATAACAAAAATAAAATAAGTAATTATAATAATAACTTATAATTAAAAAATTATAAAATTACAAATAATAAAAAAAAATAATAAGTAATTATAATAATAAAATACTCCGTAATAAGTAATTATAATAATAAAATAAATATATCAATGTATAAAAGAAATCAACATAATATCAAAAACAACAACAACCAAGTTGGATCCCACGTAGTAATACATAATAAATAAAATAATGAAAATTTATATAAAATAAAATTGATAAAAAAAATTTAAAAATAAAATAAATAAAAATTAGAAAAAATAAATTAAAATAAAAATAAAAATTACAAAAATTAGAATAAAAATACTCTTTATAATTTTTAGAAAAATAGATCAAAAAAATTTAAAAAATAAATTTAAAAATGAAAAAAATAAAATATAAAAAATGAAAATAAAACGTTTTCTTCCCCTTCCAAGCAAACAAGGTGAAGGGAATTCTTCCCATCCATTCCCATTCCCTGCCATCCATTCCTTCCCCTCTCCTCCATCCCAACCAAACAGACCCTGCAATCTTTATCCTTGAAATATGAGTACCACGTTTTTATTTTAAAAAATATATTGTAAAGTGATAGTGATTTTTGTGTTAGAATATAGAATTAGTTTTTTCCTACAATCTCATGTTTAATTTGATTTTTTGGTTGAGTTGTTTTTTTGACACAATATATAAACTCTATTAACCAAAAGCTCATGAGTTTGAATCTCATTACCACTTAATTTTAAAAAATTAATATTCACGTGCATGTTTTGATCAAAATCAAATCTCGCCTATGTGAAATGAGAGAGTGTGTTAGAGTATAAAGTCTTTTTTATATGACCTACTATCACAAGCTTGAACTTTTGGCTTCTTGACATTTTGAGATTACTCCGTATATATTGAAATTAGAGATCTTATTTTGAAATACAAATATAAATGTCCTAGTTTATTCTTTTGTTATCCTTTAGTCATATTTCGGTCCTTTTCTTTATAATGTGTTTAGTTTATTTTTATATTGGTGCAAATTTAATTCTATAATAAAATTTGTATTTTTAAAAGTAAAGAAAAAAATATACTCGAAATAAAAAGTGATTTTACTATGTTATATTAACAAATAATCACAATATATATATATATATATATATATATATATATATATATATATATATATATATATAAAATTCAACCATGTGCATTCTTCCAAATAAAATGATTTTTTTGCTTCAATGGAAATAGATTATTTAAAAGTACAAAGTGAGTAATTTTAAAATTTATATTAAATCGTAAAAAGAATAATACTCCTACTTTTGTATTTCCTTTTTTTGCTCTTATTAGGAGTTTTCGCTATTAGCCAATTATAGGCCTGGGCCGGATTTGAACTAAGACTTAAATGCTTTTTTTGTTGCTCAAGCCCGACTTATCCCATTAAAATGGGCTTATTGTTTATCTCTTTTCCGTCAAAATGACTATCAGACGGAACGCGCCGTCGCCACTCCGCCGCCAATCCGCCGCCAATCCGCCATCGCCGACTATTGCATTGGTAATTCATTCCCTATGTTTTAGATTGGTAGATATTCGCACTTTGCAGCTTAGCCATTGGTTTTATATGAGTAAATGTAATTATCGGAATTTGCAGGGATCGTTTTGTGATAGAATTTAGACTGAAATCTTCCCAAAATGTACTCAAGAAAACTGTATCCCTCCAATGCGCACATAACAAGGGTGAGCCACTACTGGTAACAGCCATAGAGTCCCAAATAAAATCCTCAAATCTTTTAGGGTCCGTTTGGTACACGGAACTGACAGAATTGGAATTGAATTGGAAGTTGTAAACCTATGGATTTGATTTGGATGGAATTTAGTTCTCCAATTCTAATTCATTTTTGGCACTACCAATTCCAAATTCACATATTTTTGTGCAGCAAAATTGTTGTCCCCAGTTCTAATTCCACAGTTTGAATTCTGTGTACCAAAGAGAACCTTAAAGTTCTTCGTGTTGGCCAATCACCCACATCATGTCTTCTCTGGGGATCTGTGTTAACCCTCATGCTAATGCTAACATAAAATGCCACAAATAATCCAGCTTCCTATGTTGGAGGTGCCTAGCTGCATCTATTTGTGCCCCATGGACCCTAACCACTACCACTAATCGTGCCCTGGTGGGTTCCAAATGCCATTCCACGGCTAAGGTTCCAGGCCATCGCCATTTTCATGTAGGATCTGGCTATGTTGTCCAACCCAAGCAATCAACCATTGTGTTCTCCTTTTGAAGAGCTTAGCTTGAACCTGGAAGAAGTCAGAAAACTTGGCACTAGTCTTTGCGTTACTCCAGCCCATGCTAGAAGCTTGTTTATACGGTTGAGTGCATCCTTGAACTCTTTCTGAAGTATATCAATTGGTGGCAGTTGAACTTTACTGGTGGGAGCTGCAACAGGGATGTCCAGGAGGAAGAACTCTGGAAGCATTGGAGGTCTTTTTTGTAACATCAATCCTTTACTCCCAGATATATCATGAGCTGACTTGGCTGGATCGTTAGCGTTGATGATATCCAGACGAGGTTTTTGTAAATTGTTCCTCTTCTTTTTCTAGGACTTTAACAAAGAACACTTGAATCTTTTTGTTTCCACATTGATGGCCTTTTTTCCAGGGTTTGTCACACTGAGAACATACACTCCTTGCCATCTTTTCAGATTCAATATGAGTAGGAACAAGCCTTGAGAAGTTCTTATATGTACCAGTCTTGTGGACATAATCCCATTTGGTCCAGTAATGGCGTGGCCTGGTTTGCTGGTTGAGTAAATGAATCCCCAAATCTGTTAAATTAAGTCTCCCTTGAAGCTTGTAGTCTGCTATGGTTTCCTCTTGCAGTTTATCATAACTAATGGCCCTCGTTATAGAAGTAGAATTGGAAACCTTAATAGATGACTACCTTAAACTGAGACTCAAGCCCTGTGACATAGCAGGCCTTTTCGTTTCCATCAATCCTTTTGATCCTTCTAGCTGGTATTCTAGGTTCTCTATTTGCCTCAATTTATCATCTTTAAATTTTGCATACAAATCCACAATAAAGTCCTCCCATTCAATGTGCTTTCTCCTTTGTTCATATACATTGAACCACACTTTAGCCCTTCCTTTAAGATGAATCGAAGCTAAGGCCACCTTTCTGTTGTCGGGAACTTCATACGGAGAAAACTCTTTTCCACATTGTTTGATCCGTTCTCTCGATTTATCTCCCATAAACAATAGCAAATCAATTTAAGGGTTAAAGGGAAATTAAGTTCTACTTTTAGATGTTATGGTGCTGGAATTCTTCGAATCAAACCGTAATCTGAACCAAAATTGAAGAACAGAGACAGAGAGATGAGAGATAGACGAGGGAGAGAGAGAGAGATGAAGGTTTAAGAGGAAAGATTGATTATTCATTCATTTCTTTCTTACTTCAAAATACAAGGATACCTAGGGTTATATAGCCACACCATAACGAACAGACTCCAACCATTTCTTAACCAACGAACCACTTGTATTAGATTGAATCAGACTCAGTGAGACTTGGAAAATGAACCACTTTAAAAGTTCCAATCCAATCGATCATTAGTTCGACTCAAGAACTTAAAAACTCATTAGTTTCTTCATTATTTATTGATGCGGGATGCTACTCACATTTTGAGCATTCTGGGCACATGAGATGTAAAGTTAGTAGATACCCTTTTTCTTCAATTGAAATGCATTGATTTTCAGGCAGCAATTGGTCTTGTTAGACATTTAGCTAGCCCTTGTTTTGGTTGGAGCATTATGGAGGGGATTGAAGGAAAGAAGAGTGCATCTCACAAGTTGACAGCTGCTTGTCAATGCCCAACCAAGCCCTAATTTCCAACCAAATCTGAGACAATAAAGCTAGGGGTACAACAACATTTCTACCTCATTTGTACACCATGTTTGTCACAAACACACACGGACAATAATTGTCTGGGCGGTGCACATACAATTGTTGTCTGCCCATGACAAACGCGGTGTACAAATGTTGGTGTACCATCTATTGGCATGTCAATCAAGCTGAGACTCTTCTTCATTGGCAATCTTTTAGGGAAAGAGTGAAGAAAAACTTCGGATGAACATAGGGCTGCCAAATGAATGACATCCATGGTTTGTTCATATGGCCTTTCTTGGTAGACACGCATGGTGCCTATTAACTTCAAAACCCTAAAGCTAAACACTGCGATTAGATTCAAACGGCATATTCTTAATTCAAAATGCTAGCATACCAAAATGCCCCAAACGACATTTTGGTTAGTCGAAAATGATGTTTTAATTAGAGTATATTGTTGAGTATTATGCTAATATAACAACCAAACATGTGTTCCATGTCTCATATTCTTGTGTTTATGTGGGGGGAAACGAGTTTGGTGTAAAAAAAACATGGTGGACAACAAGTATATGTCTTATGACATTAGGTCGGCCATCACTATCCAATAAGTGGGAAGCTAACTTATATAGCCCCGAATAATCACTAGCAACAGAATTGGACGGAATAATCACACAACCTTTTGCCTTATACTTATATGACTAAAATATAAAAAAAATGCTGTTATGCATATTATCCTAGCTTGGGACAACGTTGATTTATCAATATTTAATGAAATAAATTGTACTCCTTAAACCTTTTTAGTCTGTTGGGTATAAAGAATCGAATCAGCATTTGTTTTGATTTGCTTCTCCTGGTTTCTATGAACTTGTGATGGTTCTAGAACACGTACTTCTCGTCTTCTCGGTCTTTGAAATGGAAACTTCAATTCCGGCCTATTAATTAAATTTGGTCTCTTGTTAAGTTGTTGATACATTTGTAGAAGCATGTTCACGTACTGGCAAGGAAGCCACCCCAAGTGTCTCTAGATCACGGGCGACTAGTAATAAACTCTTCGACATCTTAACAGATAAGGTGGGCCAAAACCTGAGTCATAGAACACTTGAACTGAAACACATTTAAAAAATGAATTCAATCGATTACTTGAATTAAGCTACTTGTATCCCAAATTGTACACCGCAGGTATGCACCTTCATTTTGTGCCAGTGTGATGCCAGAGTAGTTGTTCTGTTGTTCACATGTACACAAAATACTAGTGCAAATTTTTTTGATCAGATTAGCATATTGTGTCAGTGTGAACGATTGAAATGTTAGTGTATAGTTTTACTATATACTTTGGGGTATATTTTATGGGTACTTCTATGATGGTTGTACTTTTTAACACTATCACATAAAAGTAGAGTGAAAGGAGAGTTTTCACAACTGTTGCTACCAACCCAACAAACATTTTTGGATCTTGATTGGGACACTCAAGCCAGCCTTCTTTAGTAGTGTACTATTATAAGCAACACATTTCATATGAGTGGTATCTTACTAAAGAAGGAAATGGCAAAACCACATACCCAAGAAAAAAGATTTGGAATAATTCTGTTTGCCACCCAGCCCAATGTTTTCAAACATAAAGGTTTTGGAATTTTTTTTAAATGTGTTTTTGAAGAATGTGATGCTTGGATGAGTGGAATTCACACTCAACTTTGAACACCATCAATTTTTAATGCCATGATCTCAACTCTTCAAACACATTTATTTTTAGTTTCTTTTTAATATTTTAAAATACTCCTTCCATACCCCTACAAAAGAAAGGAGGAATGTTGTAAACCCTGTTCGTCTACCCTAAATTTGGGGCATAAAAAATATTGTAAACTAATTTCTTTACTTTAATGAAAAGAAAATAAGTAGAAAGTTTATTAAAACATCATGAACTAGTCCTTGGACGGTGGTTTTTTTCTTGATTTAAAGTTTAATTTACTCTGCTATATGAAAAATGTAAAGACAACATATTTACAAGGCAAAAAAAGGACAAAAAAAGACTGAAATAAAGCTTGTTGTTGAAGGCTAAAATGGTTTTTTTTTACAATCAAGCTAAGCTTGAAATGATGGTGGTACTGCTGCACATATGAGTGTACTACCCTAAAGAGCCCTTCTTTGGGGTCCAAAGTAAATTTCTTGCAAAGCAGCACTTCCTTGTTGCGCTCTATTCATTATTCCAAAGGACCCTACACCATAAGGGGAGGTCCCAAAAAAGTTGCCCTGACCTGTGCTGAAACTTCCCATGACTGCCCCATTATTATTCCACTGAAAGGGCATTTTCTGGACACCAGTGTTTGTCTGCTGGGGATCTGGCGTAGCCGCCGCCGGTTTCTTGTTTTCCGGCGACCGGATTTGTTCTTCGCTGAGGTTCACGGTGGTGATGTCGTGAATGCTGGCCCTTCTCTTGTCTTTGCCGCCTGAGAGTTGCCTAATGAAGTATTTTTGGGCATGGCTGGCCACTTGTGTTGGTGTCCTGCTTATCACAAAATTCCTAGAAATGTTTCTCCAATCCCCTTTTCCATACTTCTTTAGCCCCATTAAGAACAACCTGCGTGACACGTCACACATGAGAACGTTTCATAGCGTCACGTAAAAAAACGTGACAAAAAAACACTAATATTGAGGTACGGAAAGTAATGTCACATCTAATGACACTACTATTGGATGTCATAATGTCATATTATGACACCCAACTTCATATGATCCCAAGTGATTCTTACTCTCTAACTTTCTTACAAAAATGTATAGCCTATATGAAATAAGGGCAAGGTTTCCATGACATCGGATCCAATGTCATGGGATGACCCGAGGGCGCTCCGGTGCCCCGTTCGTAAAATTGTCGGTTCCTACCACCCTAACCCCCCGGCAAACCCCCCACCTCGCCCCGACCCAAACACACTCCTCACTCTCTTCAATTGCACTCACAAGTTGATTTTGATTTTAGAGTCAAATTTTGACTCCAAAGTCATGAGAACCTTGGTGATGAAATAATGCAAAATACCTGTGTTCTTCTTCCGTCCAAGGAACGCCTTTCTTCCTTTCTTGCTCGGGCGTTCGATTGGAGGGCGGTCTTTTCCCGCCACCGGGGAAAGAACGCCCTGGCGGATTGAACCCCCCGCCGCCGCCGCCACCACCCCAATAGTCCAGGGTGAAGGGGGAGGTGGAAGGGGGAGCAAGGGGAGGCAAATCCATCAACCCAGCCTCTATGCAGCTAACATCCTCCTCCAATTCTCTGTACTGCGAAATCACGTCAGCCACCGTCTTCCCTGGGACCATCTCCGCCACCTTCTCCCACCGGTCCGGCGTGTCCTTGTCGTACAGCGCTAGCGCGTTCTCGAAGGCTTTGTTCTCGGCCTGGGTCCATTTTGCAGGACTTTTGCAGCTCTCTGCAGCAGCTAACCAGCTTGGATTTGGCAGAATCTCCATATCCCAATTCATCCAAGAAAAATGTTGAAAGGAAAGAAAGAAAGGAAGAAACCAAGAAAATGTTGAAAGGTGTAAGCTTTAGAATGGTGGCATTGTGAGTGTTAAATCAAGAAGCATTTTTTTGTTGTTCTTGAGGGAATCAGAATATCTTTTTCTTTTCTTGAAACAAATTAGCCACCTTCTCAGCAAGAGGAATCTGTCTTTTTTATTATTTAAAGAGAAAAAAAAACAAAATCCCAGCTTTTAATTTTTTTTTTTAAATTATGAAAATAATGGTGTTCCAAATAATGCAAAAAAAAAAAAGAGAAGAGAGTGACACTGATATAATTCAGTGGTTGTTCATAGCAGACAAAATAATGGTGTGCACACCCACCACAGAAATCGAAATCGAGATCTGAAACAATGAGAAAGGGGGAAATCTTGAAACCCCCCCAAAAATGGAAAGTTTCCAGAACTTATCTGCAACTACAAGAGCTAATAAGAAAGAACACTGTGGTGTGTCAGCTCAGCTCCTTAAGAAGAGAGATGAAAGGAGGGGAGGGGAGGGAGGGAGAAGGGCATAGGTTGGTGGTTCCACTTTAATTGGAGTGAGTTGCTTTTTCATTGATGTGTTATGGCAACAGGGAAAAAAAGAAAGAAAGAAAGAAAGGATCAGTAAGATGGAAGGTGAGTGGAAAGGAGTTAAAAGGGAAAGCAATAGCTTCTCATAATAATGAGCCCCGTTAAAATTAATCCTGCAAAACTACAGGTCAAGTCAGATTCGAGTTCGATCACATCGAGTTCAAATCAATTCAGGTTCAGATTGAGAACTGTATGTTAGTGTAATTGGGTTCAGGTCGACCCAACGAATTATGACTTTAGTTTTTAAAATCTATAAATTCACATTAACACTTGCTTAAGTTTTAGAAAAAAAGTAAGATAATTATGCAATATCATTAAAATTTTGTCTGAAAATATAAATTTATATACTAAAAACAAATAGTAAAGTATATATGATTTTGAAAAACTCTTATTTTAGAGATTCGGTCAAGTCGGGTTTGACCCATTTTTAGCGGGTCATTTCTGGTCCGGCCATCAAAACTTTTGTTTAAAACTCAATGTTTTCGAGTCAAATTTCTGGTCAAAAACAGGTCAGATCATTTTTTGTTAGATCTATTAACCCGTCATATGACTCATATCTCCCTCACAACATGTTATATTGCTGCTGCCAATTGGCGATATAGAAGGGGTTGAGTTGGGAGACATAGAACAAAAAATTTTAAAAATGTGTGCTTTTTATTTTTAAAAAGAGAAATATTATTAGGCACATATTTTTACTTACTTAAAAAGAACGTTAGAATAATACTCCGTTTACAATTAATTTAGGGATTTGCTAGGGGTACCCTAAGATTGGTGTACCTCGGGTATACAACACTTTCTCATAGATATACACAGACACTCATTGTCTGTGTACAATGGGTGTATGTGAGAAGGTACTATACACTAGGGGTACACCATTTTGGGATAAGGATGAACGGATGAAATTAGAATAGTACGGAGTATTTAGTAAATACTTCCTCATCCCCAAAAATATATTGTGAAGTGTACATTTTTTCAAAATTACATTAATTTTTATTTATTTGTGAGTTTTTATTTACTATTTAATAAAATAAAATATTTTTATCACATCTTGCTTTATAAAAATTTTAACGTAATTTTTAAATGTATTTTTATTTGTGTTTATCTTTTTAGATAAAATAAACACGTACAATCTATTTAGAGACGAAAATCTATTTAAAGACGGAAGAGAGGGTAAGAGAGTGGCCTGGGACTATGTGCCATGGGACTATGTGCCAAAACAACAAAGGCAAATAGAGGTGGTGTCGGTCTATGATTGGGTCGTATTCTTTTTTCTTTTTTTTTGGAAAACAAATTATTTGATGGATAAAAAAATACTGTATAGAGTTTTTTTTGGTGATTTTTCATGTTGAGTTCGCCATTTTAGGATATTATGTAAATGCTCCTTACTCCTTAGTAATTGATTTTTAAGGAATATATTGAAAATTCATAACTCTCTTTTCTGAACAATTGATTTTTTTCCTCTTCAAATCACATAGGATAATTTATTAGAGAGCCCATATAATTTCACCCCTCTCATAACATTTGTCTAGTTTAATTTTTTTGTAGTCGTCTAATATCAAATTATGATTAAATAAAAATTACATTGTATATTAATTAGATAAAATAATATTTTGAAATTATTTTACAAGATAAATAAAATAAATTTATACTTGTAGAATATATAATACAAAATTTATTTAATTAATGATCAAAGTTTATCAATTTTAACGACAAAAAATCAACAATACACAAATACTTTGGGGTCAAAAAATATACTACGCATATTTTGGAGTAGTATCTATGTTCTGTTAGAAATTTCGAGTCTAAGAAGTTATATTGTATTGTTCTCAAACACCAAACTCGTTGTTCAATTCATTTTTTTCGAGTATTTTTTTGGCTTAGTATTTTTTGATTTAGTTTTTACGATTATTTCAAAAAAAATTGAGATCCATTGAGCACTTGCTCCCTCTTAGATATTTTAATATCATAACTCTTTCATCATTCTCTTACCACTCTTCCATCACATTATCATCACAAACCTATTTAGAAGATTAAACTACATGACTCATATTTTAGTATTTTATCTAAGTTTTACTCATATTAGGGGAATTTCTATTTTTTGAGAAGAGGGATAGCAAAGATGGAAAAAGACAAAAAATATGCAAGACTAGAGTACGACTTATACCCCTTGGTTCCCATGACTCGAACACACCCCCACACTCCTTCAATTGCACTCTCAAGTTAATTTTGACTTGGAGTCAAAATCAAAATTAACTTGGGGGTACAATTGAAGGGGGTGGGGGTGTGTTTGGTTCGGGGTAGGGTGGGAGGGTTTACCCGGGAGGTTAGGAGGGGTAAGAACAGTCAATTTTACGAACAGGGCACCGGAGCATCTTTGGGTCATCCCATGACATTGATTCCCAATGTCATGGGAACCGGCCCGCGACTTATATTACCAAAATGTGCCATTTGAAATTTGTATACCAAAATAGATTTTATAAAGCAACTTAATGTAGAAACATAATACCAGAAAACATTGAAATACTTACCCAGTTACCCACAATACCAAATTACGGATATTTTACAAGGCCACCACTTCTATTTAAGTGATCAAAATATGACGTCGATATAAGTTTCACCACGGTTCTTTTGACACTAGATATTAATCAATTGATGCATGTCATATTATGACAACGAGTATCTAGCGTGCTCCGATCCAAAAAGTGATAGTTTCTATCCACCAAACCCTTCCCCATTCCTATTTGACCTAGCCCGGACACACCCACATACCAATTGCACTCTGCAAAGTTTTGTTGGTTTTGGGGGTCTATTTTTTTACCCCAAAATCAACAAAATTTCGAAGGTGCAATTGGAGATGTGTGGAGTGTGTTAGGACCGTGCTGGACTAGGGAGTTAGAGTACTAGGAACGTAGCCATCGATTTTTTTAACAGAGTACCTTAAGTGTCTCAATTTAACCAATATTGAAATTTAATGTCAAAAGATCTTCATAGATAAATTTCATCCTACCCCAATTAAAATGTAGAATACAATCTATTTTTTCATCACCTCGATTCTCGAAACCTTAGCTTTATTATTCAACGTCCAAATGCATTGCTAGACCATGCTTTGGTGCAGGTGTTTTATTTCATGTGAACTGTGAAGAGAGCAATGCCTCGCTAGCCAGCCAGCCATTGGTGGAGATCAGAAGAGAAGAGAATTGAACAGTCTACTGCAAGTTGATCCCATTATAGTTGGAGCTCCACTTGGCTGTCATCACTCCTTTCCATCACATGCTTTTTTTTGGTTCCTAGCAAAAATTTTTGGTGGATCTAATTCTAATTTAGGTTCACACTCATTTTATGAAATTTAGTGTATTTTTAACATAAAAGAAATGGATAATTTTTGCAAAAAAAAAAATATTCACATGTAAACCCATGAAAAATATAAAAAAAATCCACATTTTAAATGTAGATACTGGGACCATGTAATAAGCATCACTCGTTCATCTTTATGCTATTGGGTTTGTAACCCCTCTTCCTCTTCTGCCAACTGAGTGACACATAGGGATGTAAACAAATCAAATATTTTAAATTCGATTCGCGATTCGTATTCGAATATGATGATTCGAATTCGCGTTATTCAAATACAAATTCAAATTCAAATATTATTTTTGATTCGAATATTAATCAAATACAAATACAAATAGGGATATATTCGATTCGGATGATATTCGAATATTCGAATATATGTATATATACACAAACCATGTTTTCAACATTAAAAGTCAAACAAAGTAATATAGTATAAAGTGTATTTAAAATACTAAGAATTCAATAAATTAACGTAACACGAAAATCTAAAGCATATAATTTTTAATAGTTATATTTTATAAAATATAATTTGTGTAAGATGCAAATGTATTAATGTTTTTATATACAGAATATAGTATAGTATAAAGAGTATCGTAAGTTAAATTACAAATTGATGTTGGTCCATCATATAAATTATATAGTATGATTATTCAAATATTCGTTTATGATTCGATAACTATTTGAATATTAATCAAATACTTATTCAAATCTTATTTTGAATTCGTCTCATATTCGGATTCGGATTCGTATTCGAAAAAATTAAACAAATACAAATTCAAATATATCGGTATTCGCTTCGCTTCGATTCAGTTCGTTTACACCCCTAGTGACACATTAATTTTTCCTTTTGCTTCAGCTTCATTTTCCTTTTCAGCGGTGTAGTTCCCTCCCCTTCCTCTTTCTTTTTCATTTTTTAATATTATTTGTTAACATTTAATTTAATTTAAGTTAATCAAGCTAAAAACATAAAATAGAATTTAATAGTACAAACTTTAAAAACTGAAGAGAAATTAACGAGGACATTAAAAAACTTAAAAACCGAAAAAATTTATAAAAAATAGAAAAAAATTAAAATTAAAAACCGAAAACAAAACTAAAAACTGAAGAAGCAATGAAAACAAATTATAAAATGAAGATTTCACAGAGTCAAACAAAGATTAGATGAAGATTTCGAGGCGCAAGCTCTATTTTCTGTTATCAATTTCTGATTAAAGTCCAATTTACCTTCTCTTAAGTGATCATTCAGCGTGTTGATGAAATTTCAGAGATGGGATCCATTCTTGTTTAGATGAAAATTTGAAAAAAATCAAAGAAGAAGCGATGAAGAGTGCAAATTTGTTATCGTGATAAAGTTTTGGAATAGCGACACCCGGAATAGCCAAAGTTGCCAACAAACCTTGGATCCAGTAAACTTCAAAACAAGCATTTGCTACGGGCGCTGCATTCGGCTCTAGCGGAAGAGCTAGGGCACTGTATTTGGCTCTAGCGGAAGAGCGTGAGACGATTGTTTGCTTCTTTGTCCATCTTGAAATATGAGATATGCGGATCTATTTTGCCCAATCAGAGTCAGAGTAAGCAGTGAGGCGAGGTTATTGTCGCTTCATAAAAGAACCCTTGACCTAAGTGTCCTTTAGATAGTGAATGACGCGCATAGCTACATTGAGATGATCCAGACAAGGTGTCTACTTAAACTATGAAATAACATGCACTGAATAAGGTATATTTGGTCTAGTGATGGTCAAATATAATAGGCATCCCACAATTCTATGATAGTTTGTAGAATCTATGATTTTAGCATATTTTGAATTTGCTAGATTATATTATGTCCAGGTTGAATATGAGTGTCAACCAGTTTGCAACTAGACAAACATACTTCCTAAATAAAATGCAAAGTTTATTTTCTCTTGTTCAACACCAAATCATCTTTGGATTGTGCTCATTCGATCCCTAGAAAATAAGAAACAGGATCAAAATCTTTCAAGGGGAAGCAATCATGTAAATATTTCTTAAACGAAGCACGCAAAGACCCATTATTTCCTGCAACAAGAATATCGTCAACACACAAGCACAACCAGGATATCCAAACTGCGTGGGCACACAAACAATGTGTGGTCGACATGTGCTTGCCAGAAATCGTGCTTGCCAGAAAGTAATTAAGAAATTTAGAGTCTTTGCAAGTAACAGGTGCATGATATACTCTTTGCAACCAATATGTTATCAAAGTTTAATTTACCTCCTCTCAGTGAGCATCATACATGATCTTAGGAGACCCTTAGGGATAATACTCATCTTTTTTCCTATACAACTACCAAAAAATACGATTACTCTACGCAATAATAAAAAAATAAAATTATTTTGTGCAAATGAATTGCCACTCTTTGTAGCAATTTTACCTACTCCAAACAAACAATGCCAAAAAGGGACCATAAAATGTTGGTGTGTTGTATTTAGGGTCCATTCCAATAAATACTGAGTACAGTATAGCTCATATTGATACCAAACTTGACCAACAACAATTTGAATCTTTCTCTAGATGCGATGTACCTACTCCATGCTCCCCTCCCTTCCCCCTTCACTCCACCCCTATTAAATACTCTCTCCCTCCCCCAAACAATTTTAGGTTTTACCATAATAAAAAATATCACTTATTTCACCATTTTGGTTTTTTTTTAAATAATCTAACATTTTACTGTCGTATGTAGTAAGATCACCTTTAAGCGTGCGTGTGAATTTTAGATCGCTGATATGAAAGGTAACGTCACCTAAGAGGTTTCTTTAGAAAAGACTTATTTTGCGTAAATAAAAGAAATGTATGATTATTTGACGTATTTTTTAAAAAAAAGTTTCAAATTTTTTAATTATATTTTTAAAAATATAACGGTACATTCCTGCCAGATATTTGTCTCACTATTTCAAATATACTTGTATAACGGTTCACAAGTTTTGCAATGTCGTTTTTGAAGGGAAAATGATATAATGGATTATTGAAAAACAATCCAGAGTGCCACTCAAGAAAAAAAGTGATACAAAAAAATTATTGTGAATTGTAAGAAAACTAGTGCTCTTTTGGAGGAAAAAATTATTGTGCCGTTTTCACAATTTTTGTAATAACCGAATTATCAAAAATAATTTGTAGAGCCACTATACAAAAAAATATGTACTACAAACAAATATTATTGTAATACGAAAAAATTACAGAGATTATTGAGATAACCCGATACTATAAACTGTACAAAATGTAAATATTTTTTCAGAGTGACACTTCAAATTATTTTTTCAATAATCTAGTACAAATATTTTCCCAAACTAACATTACAAAAGTAGTGAAAATGGCAAAACAAATTCAATAATTGATAATTTGGTAGTACTAATTTTTTTCACGGTAGTACAAAATTGCACAAAATAATCCAAAAAGACTCGAAATATATATACAAGGATTAGCGTTAATCTGGTATTCCCTCCGCCACATCTTATAAGACAATTGGGGTAGATTTTTAAAATGAAATTTAAGTATTTATAAAATACATATAAAAAAACTCTACAAAACAAGTGTTAACATAACTATATTATTTTATTAAATGACTAACGAAAACATACAAAAAAATCAATAAAGTTTGATCTTGTAAATACTACGGAGTATATAGACTATTTAATTTTTAATTTTGGACAGAAGGCCGGAGTAGTAATATTTTTCCCAAGAGTTTTATCAAGTCACTAATTGTTTTTTCGAGAATTTGGTATGAATTTTCAAAACATTGTAAAAGTTGTAAAAATAGCACAAGATTTTTTTCACCAAAATGACACTAGATTTTTTTATGACCCACTGCAACTCTTTTGTTTTGATTTTTTCTTGAGTGGAATCTATATTGTTTTACAATAGTCCACTTTTATTATTTTTTTGAAAACGACACTACAAAACCAAATTGTGAACCGTCATTTTTTTAAAAGAGTTTCAAATGACGACCCAAAACTCACACAAAATTCAACGCAAGATCGTGATTATCTAGACCAAGCATCCAATCCTTATTTTAATTATTTGATACTATTTTATTGTTTTAGGGGGTTCAGAAAGCATAAATTTACACATTTTGTTAGTTTTTTGTTGATGACTTTAGTATTTCTCCATTATGTTTCTTTAAAAGACGGAAGGAATAGTAATTTATCACATACTACCTTCATCTTTGAGTATTTTTTCGGGTTTTACTTTTTATAGTCAAAATTGATAAATTTTGACCATTGATTAAATAAGAGTAAAACTTATATATACTCTCTCCGTCTCATAATAGATTACAAAGTGCGCAAAATGAAGAAAAAATTAAAGTTTTTTCAATTCATTTTATTTTAAGATTGATATAAATATAAAAAATGGAACTTGGATACTTAAAAATTACAGAGTATATTAAAAATTATGCAAAATAATAGGCTACCAGAGTATTTTATACTATCAAATAATCAGTAAAAATACACAAATAAAGAAAAGCTAATGTGATTTTGGAATAGTGCAAATTGTAATCAATTGTGGAACGTAACGGGTGGACTCTTAGATATTGATACAAGAATAACTTGTAAAATATTTTGAAAATATTATGTTATCGAATTAATACGTAATTATTATTAAATTATATGTTAAAAAGTCGATCTCGGTTGCTTGAAAATAAGCATTGTTTACAAGACAAATCACAACAGAATGATGTTTGTATAGTCTCACTTAAGAATCTCATATCCTTTTTCTATATTTTTCTTATGCAAGTTTGAGAATCAAACTTAGGTATTCAATTATGTTGAATCAAACTTCTGAGGTTATCAATTATGTCTGCTCACCATACGATAGGAATATGTATCAAAATACTGTAGTTGTTAAGAACTAAAGAAAATTGTATGAACTTGATAGAATTTAAGATGGGGTAGAGACCATTGGACTGGGCCATAAGACATTTGGACTGAATCACGTTAAAAGATTGAATCCAATCAATTACTTAGTTCAACTCAAGAGCTTTTATACCGATCTATTTTAATTTCTTTTCAAGTTCCAATGTGAGAAACTTTTTAACAGAACTCTAGTACTTACCGAAGAACATGAAAAACACACAAGGCAAGATGTAGAAATTTGTTAACCTAGAAAAGATAAAGAATAACCGTAGAAAGTAGATAAAAAGTAAAACTCTTGAAACCAAGTAGACAACATGCATGTTCCAAAGTATATATCTTAAGTTATCTTAGTGTGGTGAACCAGAAACTTTGTACTCTTTATCTATTCATCCACCTAGCTAAAGAGCCTCAATATGCAAATAAATGTAATAGTCAAACCTCAAATGACAAGGCAGTCCTGTATCTGTTTCAGAGTCATTTAACTGGATGAATGTAAATAATAACATTGTGAACCTATGTTATATATCTGGAATTTTAATTTGTTGACAGATTCAAGCTAAGGATTATATGCCTGTCAAGTATCAATCTTTATATGTGTACCACATTAAAAAAGACATCATGATTGCCCTCAAACAATGGATCACAACAAGATTTTGTACCAAACAATGGAAACATCTATCTCTACAGCCACTCGGGCGATTCTAGGTGCAGAGTGTTAACCAATAATTATATGCGAAAGACGTAATACTGACTCCAACTCATTAGAATTGAACTAAAAGGGCGACTGGAATCTAGGATGGCGAGAGCCGAGCCCGCGGCCTGGAGTTATTATCAGAAACTGAACGACAAAATTGATAAACTGAACGACAAAATTGGGCACTACCGCTGTAAAAAATACTTCCTCCGTCCCGCTATATTCGTCCACTTTTGACTTTTGGAACTGTTCATCTATGCACTTTGACTCATCAAATTCTCTCAATGTGTAAGCCTAAATATAGTCATGTGTGATCTTGTTTGATTTGTCTTAACATATAGATTATTAATATATAATTTCTATAATTTTTTAATATACAAATTACATGATAAAATGGATTAAAGAAGTGTATTGGATGGTGTGTGAAAATGAAAGTGGACAAATACTCTGGGACGGAGGGAGTACTAAAATCTCAAATTCAATCACTAAAAAGGAAGGAATGTGGGCTGATTTTTGCTATTTCTATAAAAAAAAAGAATGTGTTCTTCAAATTGTTACTTTTAAGTATTTTTCTGTTAAAAAAGCATGGATTTAAAAAAAGCATTTGTGAGTCTAGCATAAGTCAATCATCCAAATGACATTAATCTCAAAGAAAAATGGAGTAATCTTTTTTATTTTATTTTTTCCTTCAAATAGCTTTATGCATTCTAATTCTTTTTTGATTTTTTGGATTTACAAAATTAAAATTAGTTTCAAATGAGCATGCAAATAAGAATTTATCTTCGAATCCAAACTTAAAATACACTACAACATGAAATCGTCTTAAAACTAAGGCCTTGTTTGGGAACAACGTTTTCAATTAGCGTTAGCATTTTAGATAAAATTTTAATGGTGTAGATTAATTCTGAAAATGCTGACACTAAAGACTACCGTCGGATATGCTTTTCAAAACGCTAACGCTAATCACTGACGTTGATGCCAAACGGGGCCTAAAACTCACAACACATTGAACCCTATTTCTTAAAAATAAAAAATATATTATAATTATTTTTAATGTTTTCATATCAATTTAGAATTGTGGTTGTTCTTGATTAATCCACATGCAAAACATCTGAAAGTATAATTGGGCATCCACCAAATGAAAATGAGTTAAAAACGTAAATATTATACCAATTACTTTCTTTTTTTTCAGGATTTTTCTAGCTATGTTATTTAGACCTCAATTCGATTTTCATAGGGGATATCAATTTCAATTCGGTGTTTGAGAAGGAGTAATTCAGTTTTATCTACATAGAAAAATTAAAAAAAAAAAGAGGGGCAATAAAATTACCTAGAAGAAGACAATCAGGCGGTGGAGAAGAAGAAATATGATCGGTATATGGAAGAAGATGAAGAGAGAAACAGAGGCGATATGGCGCACAGTGAATCAACGGAGAAAACCGTACAAGGTCGAAGAACCGGCGACCAAACAAGTGTTTAGCCGCTTATATTATTTGGTAGATAGACATTGAGGGTTTTTAATTTATTATTTCTAGTGTTTATTGACTAATTGTTTAAGTAGTTTTTAATTTATTGGTTGTTTATAAGTTAATTATTCTTTTGTAAAAATATAAAGACTTAAAAAGATAGATAAGTCATTTTTAATTATTCATAAATGGTGAGGAATAATTTTGTAAATAATCTGGTCAAAACGGAGAAACAAAAAAAACTGATTTAAAAATAAATAATTAAGACATACTTCTTTTTTATGACTTATAATCCGTAGCAGCTAATAAGTCAACTTATAAACACACATAATCATGTCATCAATTGACTTATAAATTAAAAATTACTTATACACAATTTTGCTCAATTCATAAATACAAAGAAACACCAACTATATTTTCATCGATCACTTTTTTTAGTACGGTCAAAATGCTCTTGCTGAGTATACATCTTGCAACAAATGTGAAAATAAAAGTGTTCATGTGCCCGCGCTCTAAAGTCTTTGTGGACGTTGAAAAATATTGTCATCCGCTCCATTTTACACTAATATGAATCCCTTCCAATCTTTTTTTTAAGGTCAATCTTTTATTACCATAGCAAAATCTAAAATGTAGCTAGTTGCATGTTTCTTAGTTTGAAAACCATACAAAACTTAGAAATAAGTCTATAATGGGTAGACAAATGTTAGACCAATGTAACAATACTACGAATGTTGATCAAAATTAACCACCACAATGTAACAATAAAGTCTTTAGACTTTATTTTCATCTTAATTTTATCTTAAGGTAGAGTCAAAAAACTAAAGATTGAATATACAAAAGTTTGATACTAAAATTTAAACTTTAGATATTCATAATTAAATTTTGGAACTTCGAGAGAGAAATTTTGAAATCTGAGTCTACCTATCTGATTAATCCAATCCACTCCCTCTGAAAATAGTACTCCAACCCGTAGTACAGTAATATGAGTATTAAACTATCCTTATTCAATAATGTAAATGGGATTTAGGGGTTCTAAGTATAATATGGAGTATAAAAATACCACAAAACATAAATTGCAATTCTTCCGTCTCAATATCACACAATGGAAAAGAAGAAAAAAATACTCCATAAAAACAAATGCTGACCACTAGATGTCTTCCCCATGTGACTTGACATCTCATCTTAACCAATTGCACCTTCCCGTCTCTTGGTAAAGTTGATTAAAGACAATCATCCGTAATATAGTCTTTGTATGTATCGGTGAGATATTTTACTTTTAAAGTCCTCATTGATCTCTCTAAGACTACAATTTGATTTATCTTGTTTAAGGCTACTCTCTTGACAACCCTAGATGGCCTTAAGATGAGGTTCATTCTTAATTTTTTCCAAGAAGCAACAATGAATCAACAACATAGTAAAATTTCACGGAAGTAGGCATTGGGTAGGGTGTGTGTGTGCGCAGATATTACCCTACTTGGAAGTAGAAGATTCGTTTCCAAGAGACTCCCAAATTGAGTAACACAGAAACAACATTGAGTGTGAGTCAATCCAAACTTCCTCATTTAAGTCGGTCGCTTTACCACCGAAACAACATTTCATGCATGTATCTAGTTTTAATCTTACTTTTTATGTCAAGTGTGCGTTGAATTACTCAATGTCTAAATGAATTACATTGATAATGAAAAGATGTAGACTAGGAAGCCAAACAATGATATCAGTTCTTGAACTAGGCGCTAGAGCGAGCACATGAGCAACTTGGTTCGCTGGCCGCTTCACAAAACTGATCAAAGCTCCCTCAACATTCAAAATCAATTGCTGACAATCCTTAATAATATCTCCAAAAGGTGATCCATCATTGTTGGTGGTTTTCACTGCATTTACTAGAGTCATTAAATCCAATTCTACTTCCACATTCCTCCAATTTGACCTCCTGATCCAGCTTAAGACCTCTTGATGAAAAATTAGCATGTGTTGTACTAGGCTCCGGCAAACTATCTTGAAGCAAAGACACAATGCCAATCACCACCCAACCATCATCTCTAACGACACCACCACACCCCCATTTTCCGCCATTTGCAAATAAAGCAGCATCAATATTGCACTTCAAACGTTTTGTCCCCGGTTTCCTCCATCGCTCAACCTTCCTAGATCTCGGTTCGCCACCAATTAAATTTTCCTTCATCGTTGCACCCCTCTAATTTTATGCAAAAATTACAACCCCGCCTATAGAAAAATAGATGAGTCTGAGCTACAATTATCACTCCAGACCATTTTATTTCTATTACACCATAACAACCACATGATCACCACCATCTCTTCGTCCTTATACCGACCAACCCGATCTCTAACTTCCACATGATCTAGTTTTAGTCTTACTATAAATCTTTCGATTCCAAAAAAAATTGTTTGTACTTCCTTGTTTCAGAAAAAATTTCTATTAATTTCTCTTCTTATTTTAAACTCTGCATCTTTACTGTGCGTTTAAGGAAGTTAATGTCCCTAACTTAGGGTGTTTGGTGCCCTAATTTACAAAAAAAATACCCAATGGTTTTTTAGAGCATCTCATTGTCACTCTGTAACATTTGCAGAGTATAATTAAATTAAGACCTTTTATGTGTGATTCTAAAAATAAAAAATATACTCCGTATTATGTATTTAAGTTTGGATTGATTATTTGATAAAATAAAACGTTTTTTGTCAAATCTTGTTTTGTAAACTTTTTATAAAAATTTTAAATATATAATTTTTTTATTATAATACCAATTTGTAAATATTATTTAAAATGGCACAAAATTTGTACATTGTTCAAGAGGAATAATTATTTTTGGGGGAGAAGAGTATTTAGTCTTATTTTTGTTGATTCAAAGACATTGTAGCCTGATTTTTCTAAAAATATCGAGTAAATAAAGAACTTAGTTCCCCTAATTTAAGGAAATTGTATTCCGTATACCGAGTGATCCGTATAAAAGATGATGAAGAACAGAAGAAGCAGTGTTAAACAGATTTTCCCTCCGGCAATACGTACACGATTCATCCCATCACTGAAAGAATTTATGTCCCGGCCGGCGTTTACAGTACGAATCCGGCAAGCAACAACACAGGAGAGTTGAAAGAGAAGAAGAATAAGAAGAAGCTTCATTAACTCCGACCGATTTTCACGGCATTTCTTCGCAACAAGCCCACTGCTAGAGTTCTTAGATGCAAAATTGACTGAGGCCGAGTAAGAAATCTCCTTCTCCCTAGCTCCATTAAACACTATAATTCTCGGATTTCTCTTCTGCATTTAGGTGTGAGTTCATCTTTCTCATCCCGTTTGTCTTGGTTCTCTGATGATTAGAAGTAGAAACGACTCAAAACAGTGTGAAATGTGATTCGATCCGAAATGTACAATTTTTGTCTATAAAATGCTACTCTGTTGAGAATATTAAACTAAATGAAAAGATGTTGAACCTGTGTAATTTATGGATTTGGCTGCTCGCAGTTTACTCCATTAGATGAGGAGGTTGTCTTACCGTTATTGCCAGTTTAGGCTCTATCATGTGCTCTGGCTCAACTTTAGGAATTTGATTGATCATTTACTGTAGTTGTTTGATACTCTGCCCATATTAGATGAAGTAATCCGTATTAATGAACTCTTGCTTTTTTGAGTAATACTTGAAGTGATTTCCCATTTCTAGTCTGGTTTGGGCAAGATTATAGATGTATCTGGTCAGGACACTACATTTAATGCGTCAGTGTTACAGCTTTATCCCATATCCTGGGTTTGACTTTTTGCAGGGATTTTTTTTAGATCTGTTTAAAAGTAAAACCCTGATCCAGCATTCTTGTGGGGAAAAAAGAAGATGATGAAGTTAGGTTTTACCCTCAAGCTTCATACGGAGAGACTGTTTGTTTGGTTGTACCTGATACTGCTATTGTTGCCCGGAGATGGAAGTGTGGAGGCAGATTCTAGTTACTTAATTGGGCTCGGTAGCTATGATATCACAGGGCCAGCAGCTGATGCCAACATGATGGGGTATGCTAACATGGACCAGATTGCATCTGGAGTTCACTTCAGGCTGCGAGCTCGCACATTTATTGTAGCAGAACCACAGGGGAACCGCATTGTATTTGTAAATCTTGATGCTTGTATGGCATCACAGATTGTGACCATTAAAGTTCTTGAGAGATTGAAAGTTAGGTATGCTTTCAAAACATTACTGCTAGCTTAATACTTCTCCCTATTATTTTATTTCACTAAACCGATGTGATGTTTCCATTCACAATTTCTGCTATTATTTTTACGGAGTATAATTTTTGGTCAAATGTGCTCCAGTTGCTCATGATATGCTCTAGCTTATATACTAACATATTACTACAAGTGCCTTTTATTCTGCAGGTATGGGAATCTGTATACCGAAAACAATGTTGCGATTAGTGGTATCCACTCCCATTCTGGCCCTGGGGGATATCTACAGTATGTAGTGTATATAGTAACATCTCTCGGTTTTGTCCGCCAGTCGTTTGATGCCCTTGTTGATGGCATTGAACAGAGCATAATGCAAGCTCATGAAAACCTGCGACCTGGGTCAATATTTGTGAATAAAGGTATTGGAGTGGAGTTGCTCCTTTCTCTTCCATTTCCCCCTCCCATTATCGTTATCTCATTCTTGTCTGATAGTAAAACCTAGCTCTTCATAGGAGTGTAATTTAATATGACCTATAGACCCACCACACTTTTCATCAAAAGCTAGTGAATGTCATTACTACTTGGTAATGCATACTGAAAGGGTATAAAACCTTTTATGTCAAGTGTCAACCACAGGTTTGTGCTTTTGATCGAGTCATTTCCTTGACATGGTATCAAAGCTTTGTTGACCTAGAGTTCACAAATTCAAAACATGGGACTTGGGATGAACTTTTAAGGTGACCAGGTGCATCTAGAAAGAAAGATATATGTCCTCCTTGGATGCTCTGTGCCAGGCCCTATTGGTACCTTACCTTATATTGAGGGGAGGACCTCTTACATGAGTTACATCTGTGTAGAATTGACCAAGAGTAGCAAAAAGAAATGCGCAAGTGCTATCTATAATAAACTGTTACCCTTTAT